GCTGGAGTGCAATGGCGCGATCTCGGCTCACCGCAACCTCCGCCTCCTGGGTTCAGGCAATTCTCCTGCCTCAGCCTCCTGAGTAGCTGGGATTACAGGCACGCGCCACCATGCCCAGCTAATTTTTTGTATTTTTAGTAGAGACGGGGTTTCACCATGTTGACCAGGATGGTCTCGATCTCTTGACCTCGTGATCCACCCGCCTCGGCCTCCCAAAGTGCTGGGATTACAGGCTTGAGCCACCGCGCCCGGCCCCCTTCTCAAATATTTGAATAGACACCCTATGAATAAGCAAGTATGTAAAAGTACTATATATATATATATATATTTTTTTTTTTTTTTTGAGATAGAGTTTTGTTCTTGTTGTCCAGGCTGGAGTGCAGTGGGACAATCTTGGTTCCCTGCAACCTTCACCTTCTAGGTTCAAGTGATTCTGTCTCAGCCTCTGAGTAGCTGGGATTACAGGGGCATACCACCATGCCTGGATGATTTTTGTATTTTTAGTAGAGACAGGGTTTTGCCTTATTGGCCAGGCTGGTCTTGAACTCCTGACCTCAGATGATCTGCCCACTTTGGCCTCCCAAAGTGCTTGGATTACAGGCATAAGCCACCATGCCCAGCCAAAAGTACTATATTTTTAACAACCTTATGTTACTGTTCCCTGTGCTTTTCTTTCTTAGCCTTCTTGCATTTTTTCTTGGTCTCTCTCTCTCTCTCACCCTTCCCCTCCCCATGACAATTCTATCACCCACAACAAAATGTCTAAGATAATTTCTCCTATCTCTCCTCATACGCTACCAGGTTTCACATCCTTTGGTGGATTTATCTTTCCAATGTCAACAATATGAAGCTATATCAGTTTTTTTTTTTTTTGAGACGGAGTTTCGCTCTTCTTACCCAGGCTGGAGTGCAATAGCGCGATCTCGGCTCACCACAACCTCCGCCTTCTGGGTTCAGGCAATTCTCCTGCCTCAGCCTCCTGAGTAGCTGGGATTACAGGCATGCACCACCATGCCCAGCTGATTTTTTGTATTTTTAGTAGAGACGGGGTTTCACCATTTTGACCAGGATGGTCTCGATCTCTCGACCTCGTGATCCACCCGCCTCGGCCTCCCAAAGTGCTGGGATTACAGGCGTGAGCCACCATGCCCGGCCCCACATTTTCAAAAGATATAAAATCTGGCTGTTTTTGTAGAAATCAAACCATTCATTATACAAGTCTTTAGTATTTTTGTCTTTTAGTTTTTTTGATTTGGTTTTTTGCCATTTACACCTATAGCTTTTACTAAATTCCAACTCAGTTCCATGAAGGCAGAAGCTGCACTGTCTGAGTCACCATTATAGCCTTATCACTTACTATATAGCAAGTGCTCAGTAAACATCTGTTGAGTGAATGAGTGTATTATTCTATCGCTGATTTGAAGCAACACTTTTTTTTATCATATTTCAAATACAGTTATTCCTTGCTAAGCTTGGAGGTGGCATTCCACAAATACTGCTTCACAGTTGGCAAGACAAATCATGGTGTTATAGAAAATAGGGAGTAGGAGAGGGTAAAATAAACCAAACTCCTGACAAAAGTTTTGGGAACATGTGCTTTCAAAGTAAGCCAGACTTAATGGTTTTAAAGAGCTCCTCTAGCAGAAAAGCTTTTATCTGAATCATCTTTTTAACTTGTTCAGAACACACTGCTTCAACGGTATCTACTGTGATATGTTCTCCTATAAATAAATGTCACACTATATTTACACAGACTGTACCTTACTGGACTTGAAATTTAATTATTTTTGCTTTTGCATTCTTTCGTGATCCATTTTTATAATCTGTGAGAAGTAAATCTGTATAGATTTATTCATTTAGGAGAATATCCATTTAGTAGAAAATTCAAAATTTATGACCATATCTATATGATCCAAGGGCTCCTTTTTGCCTGATGAATTAGAAGGCAGATATTTCATGATTAATATGACTGAAAATACTATTTTTAGGTTCATCATTAGCTTGGGCTACAACTTAGTCTGTGTTCTTTGTGTCAACTCATTGATTCAACAGTGTGTCCTTCACATTTTTTCTTATGGCCACTTTTTTTGTGTGTCACCAAGGGTGAAGGCATAACCTTCCTCTCCTCATGTGCAGCATCTTCTGTTCTTTCTCTGGTTATAAACAATGAAAAAAGGGACAATCTAGTATTTCTCTGATCCTTAAGAACACATAAGGGATTCTGAAATTCAAAGTTAAAATGCAGCATTAAGATACATTATGTCACCAGGGAGCGAAAAGAACACAGATTATAGATGGCAAAAAAATGTATCAAGTAATGTTAAAATTAATTTTGTGTAAAGTTGACCAAAGCTTTTAAAACTATACCTTTGCTTCCTTATTATTCTGAATTTTCTCTGTTCTCTTGCTAGTCTCAATATTTTTTATCAGAGCATCAGGGGCAGACAGGACCTAAACAACTCTACCTGGTGTAATAACTAAACACATGTTGGGGCAAGGTATTGCTAAGTGTGTTTGTGTGTTTCTCATTTGGTATCAGAAACATCTTCCTTTCCTTAATAAACTTTTATGTATTTCCAGACTTTTCTCTCAATTTTTTGTAACCTTAAAAAGATTTTTACCCGCTTTCTCTGCATGCCAGTCAATTACTGTGTTTCACATGAACAAACAATACAGCTTGAATAAACCCAATCCTACTATTGCAGGTTGCAAAGTCACCCACCTACTCCGTTTTTATGGCGATGCTGATTTGGGGCATTTTGCTCTTACAGGCTGAGTCCTCTGTCTGTGAGGAAACGGTGGGTTTTTTTCCCCATCCTACTTTCTGAGAGGCAAAGGCGCCCCTGCGACTTTCAGGACTGCCCAGTGGGGCTACGACAGCCTCAAGCTCGGCTTATCTGGCAGTTCGGCGAAGGGCGCGCTGTCCTGGAGCGATTGGAGTCACCTGTTCAAGGTCGCGAACCCACCGGTGCCGCCCGCAATCAGCCAGGTCCAGCAGGGCTGCGCGGTTTCCGGCTTGCCTGCGCTCGGCGTCGCCTCGGCCTCACCAGGTGCCCGGCAATCTGCGCAATGGCGGGGACACCGCGGCCTCTCCCGACCTACCGTCAGCCCAACCTGGGCCCGGAACTAACGCCCCACCGGCACAGGCAGCCGGACGCGGCCGGGAACGGGCACCGGAAAAAGGCGGTGCCGGGGCGGCCGGGGGCGGGGCGGGCCGCGGGGTGCGGCCTACAAAAGCCACGCGCGGCGCAGAGGGCGGGCCTAGGGGCGAGCGGCGGAGTCGACGGAGTGTCTGGCGCCACTGAGGCCGCGGGCGAGAACCGGGAGGGGAGAGGGAGGAGACAGGAGGAGGAGACGCGAGTGCGGGGTGGCGCCGGTCCACCTCCGCAGCGCTCCTGCCTCCCGCCGTCTTCGGAAGGCGGGGCCAGGCTGCGGCAGCGGCGGCCTCAGCTGCCGGGGGAGGTGAAGTCGTGCTGCGGCGGCCTCGGTCGGCGCGGCGGAGGGAGGCTGCCGACCCGGCGAGGGTGGGCAGGTCTGGGTGGCCGGCGCCGCGGCAAGGTGGAGGGGCGGCTTGGCATCCCCGGGGCGGGGCGGGGCTCCCGGGGTCCGCTGCCGGTGCTTTTTTCTCCAGTTCAGCCTCCGCAGGGGCCTTGCAGTAGCCGCCTCCGCGTCCCCGGGGCTGCTGTTGGAAGGGCGGGGGTCGGTGCCTGCGGGGCTCTGCGTGGCCGCTCGGGAGAGGTACTCTTTGCGCAGGCTCTCCCGGAGACTTGAGGTGGGGCGCGCAGGCATGCATGGGGCCTGTTCGTCCTTGTTTTGGGGATGATCCTAAGGGGAGAAAGAGGGATACTTTGGGTGCCTGGAGTCTAGGGACGGTTACCTACGTGCGCAAGGGCTGCTGATTAGGGCAGGGAAGGCTCGCTAGAATGAGCTCTTAAACTAGTTGGGTGTAAGCGTTTATGGGTTGGTCTAAACCAAACAACCGAGAATCAACGGGGGGTGCCTGCAGGTTGAGAGAGTACCTGGCTGCAAATGTCCGGTAGTGATGGATTGCCTTGTAGGCCCCAGAGCAATCAGGGGAGTTAGCATTCTTATTCAAGAAGCTGCTGGTTCACTTAGCGCTGTAAGAAGGGTGTGAGTTTGGGATTTTCTTTCAAACATTCAGGGTTGAGGTTGGAGCTGGTGGTGAGGGATCATGTAAAGAGGTTTGAGTGGCTGCCTTAGGTCCTGGGGTGGAAAGCTTATTTTGGTGTCACGTGTCTATGGGAATTATTAAGAATGTGGTGTACCCTCATGAGAAGAGCTCTGAAGCCATTGCTGTTCTTCCTCCCTGTGTGGAAAATCGAATTTCTGGAAACATCCTCTGTGTTGGAGATTTTGCATATGTAAAGGCTATCCTTATTGGCTAGTGGCACAAATTAAAAGTAGGATGGAAGTACAGTAGTATCTGAAGCATTATTCGGTTTCGAGCTCACTTCTGTGGAAAAGAATTTTAAGGCAGTGGTCTAGACTTTCCAGGGAAGTTACTGCTTGGCTGTGTCCCTCTAGTCCTAATTTTATACTTAACTTTCCCCACCTCCTTCAGCTTCATCTGTTTCAATGGTGCAACTCTCTTCATCCCCTTTTGGTTACCAGTCACCTTCAGGCCACTCAGAGGAGGAAAGAGAGGGGAATATGAAGTCGGCCAAGCCCCAAGTGAACCACAGTCAGCATGGGGAAAGCCAGCGGGCCTTGAGCCCCCTGCAGTCTACTCTGAGTTCTGCTGCATCTCCTTCCCAAGCATATGAGACCTATATTGAAAATGGACTCATATGCCTTAAACACAAAATTAGAAACATCGAGAAAAAGAAGGTAAGATTTTTTTTCTTCCAGCCCTGTATGTGCGCGTGATCTTAAAGATTAAGGAGCTGACATTTTTCTTTCAGAGCTCGTAAATGTTCTTTACTAAAGATTTGACCTTAGTATTTAACTGCCTTAAACAAGAAGGCTACATCTTGGAAGCATTTGTTTTTCCAAGATGTTTCATTTGTCAAAACAACTGAATAAAAATATTCTTCATAGTAAAATTATTCTGCATGCTGCTGTTGAAATACTTTAAGAGCTAATTTAGGTCAGATTAATTCCTTATGTAGTATGTTTCTTTTCATAGATGTGTTAATAGCTGATTTTTTAGTTTGTTTTCCTTGTGACTTTCTGCAGCAGTTGATACTGCAGCATAACTGCTGCAGTCGTTGGAAGGTTTAACCATGGTAGAACTAGAAAGTGTTTTACCACTTACTTTTGTGTAGTTAGGTGAGGATTAAGATTGCTAGGTGAAAGCATTGTAGTCAGCCTTATAAAGAGACCCAGGAGTTATAATCAGTCTAGCTACAGTAAATGCTGATGTAAAGATCTAAATCTTTTCTCATTTCCTGAGTCATGTAGCTTGTGAAACAGACTGCACGTTGCTTTGTTGTGTTATGATTCTCTTCTGCTTTTGGACAGGTGAGGTTGAGTGACTGTCTGGACCTATGTGTTCTTAAATGCTTTTGTGCCAAGACCTAGTTAAACCTTAAAGCTGCTTTTAATGGAGGGGTGAGAACAGACTCTTTAGAGTCTGGTTAACTCTTTCTTTTCTTTTTTTTATTTTTTAAAGCTAAGAAAGTGGTAAAGAAGGGCAAGTTGCTAGTAACTTCCCTGTAGCTCTCCCCATTTATCTTTTTAAGGCATGCAGTTGATCACAAGTGTGATAAGGTGAGTGTCAGGTCAGCACAAATTCCCCATCACTATGATAAATGATCAAAGCAGGATCTATTGAGGAAGCCTCCCTCAGGTGGAGGAACTACATATATGTATACTTAAGCTCTCTTCTAGCTTACCTATAATTTAATTTAATTTTGAATACCTATCTGATGGTACCAGTACTTTTGTTTCAACCTTCTGGGGAAGAATTTTGCAACTAAAGCCAATACAGGAGGGGCCTAAAAAATGCTTTTAGAATACCATAGTGGGGCCGGGTGCAGCGGCTTATGCCTGTAATCCCTGCACCTTGGGAGGCTGAGGTGGGTTGAATCACCTGAGGTCAGGAGTTCAAGACCAGCCTGGCCAACATGATGAAACCCTGTCTCTACTAAAATTATGGAAAAAAATTAGCCCAGGCATGGTAGCGGTCACCTGTAATTCCACCTACTCAGGAGGCTCAGGCAGGAGAATCACTTGAACTGGGGAGGCAGAGGTTGCAGTGAGCTGAGAATGTGCCACTGCACTCCAGCCTGGGCAACAGAGTGAGAGGCTGTCTCAAAAAAAACAAAACAAAACAAAACAAAAAAACCCAAGAATATCATAGTGGGTTTATGTCATTATTATGGGGCCAATAAGTGCAATTTGTTTTTCATAATTTCCTCAATGATAAAATATAATATGAAAAATAACTTCAAGATGAGCCTACTCTAATGATAGACAAGAATTCTTTTATGTTTCTGTACTTCCAATAGGAGTTTCCTTTGGGGAAAATGGTGCTTAATTCAATGGGTAACTGAACTAATAGTTTAAGCATGAGATTAGAGTAGGACTTTCAACCTCTACACCATTGACATTCTGTACTGGGTAATTCTTTGTTGTAAAGGGCTGTCCTGTGCATTTTAAGATGTTTAGCAGCATCCCTGGCCTCTAATCACAATAATACCTCTCTTCCCCCTCCCAAGTTGTGATAACCAAAAATATCCCCAGACATTGCCATATATCTTTGGGGGACAAAATTGCCCTTGTTGAGAAGCTACTGTGTTGAGGACTTGTGATTTACAAGGTAAGTTCAGAAGGGTTAAGTAGTCTAGTTTGTTATTAATAGAGTCCATTAAGAGAAAATAGTTTTTATTACTGTTTAACTTTTGTGATTCCAGACTCATGATTCTGTGTATTTTTTACTCCCCTGACTGGAACTCATCTACAGTTGCTGCATGCCTTATAGTAAAATGATAGTCTTGCAGATTGATAGCTTACTTCAAGGACTTTGTTTTCCTAGAGACAAGGTCTGGCATTTAGTTTATTTGCTTCTGAATTTTTTATTGGATTATAGTAGATACAAATTTCTCTTTTGTAGCTCAAACTGGAAGATTATAAGGATCGCCTGAAAAGTGGAGAGCAACTTAATCCAGACCAGTTGGTAAGTGGCTTATGATGTCTTGGTCAGACTTAACTGGTTTTCTTTTCTTAATAAAACTCTACATGGACTTAGTGAGACCAGAGACTTGATAGCGTGCGTGTGTGCGTGCACGCACACACGCACACGCACACCAAGTTAAAATCTGTTCAAAAGCTTTTGTTGTCTGTGCCTGTTAGATCTCAGATATGACTTTTTTTCTGTTGACTAGAAGATGGTATTTATGGGGGTGTAGATTGTTAAGCAGGAGTGAAAGTGTAGAATGTCACTAAGAGTTAACATATAGATTTAAATTAAACTTATGCCAAGATGGACTGAAGGAGAAGAGAAGGGCATACTCTAGCTTTCAGCAATTCACTGGTATATTCTAAACTTGACATCTTTCTGCTCTAAAATGTGAAAGAATATTTGCTGTAGCTTACCTCAGTTTTCTCTGGCTGCCTCACTTTAATTCCTTTCATGGTCTCTTCCTACTTTTCTATCCTGGATTGTCGTGTCCCCTCTCAGGAGGCATGTTATCTGATAGATATCCGGTCTTAAAAAAAAAAACTTACTATATACATTAGGCTATTGTATTTTTCCCATTGGTTAACTTGCCAATGATATACCTTGTAATTGCAAATTTTATGTAATTTGTGAAGGAGAGTTTTTGCAATGTGGAAAGAAAACACTGCTTTGTGGATATTTATCATTTTGTCTTGATCATGTCTCCTGGCTAAGAAGGGACACATTTATTTGAAAATTATTTTATCTTGTTTGTGGGTCTGTTGTCTTTCTGTTTTTCAACTAAAATTTTTGGGTATACATCATAGATACTGGCATTCAAGGACTTTCCCCATTCCATATGACTCCTCTTCACTGACCCAGAATTTTTGTGATGTAGTAAGTTATAATTTTGCTGAGGCACAGAGTTGAATTGTGTGAGCTCTGTGAATGGTGTGCTCACTTAGCTGGGGAGAAGACTTAGCTGGACGTGCAGCATTTCAACACAGCTTTGTTTTAAAGTCATGGTGTGTTCAATAACTCTTAAAATGATAAAACTTTGTGTGTGTGTGTAAATATTCTTGAATAAAGTGCCCTGTTACAGTTGTGCTCTTTATTGTTGAGAAACATTGGGAGAAGGGGTTGGAGATTGATAGTTCCAATGGTAGCTCTCTAAGAAATGGTAAGGACATGCTATATTCATTGCCCCAGCCAGGCAAACTTCATTCTCAGTGCTTCATTACTGTCTTTATAACCACATGTTGCTTCTGTAATAAATGTATGGACTTTGATATCTGGATTAATACAGTGACAACTACCCAATTTATATTGCCAACAGATAAGTCCTCTGAATTCAATATTTCTTTGTCCAGGTGCCTGTCTGACACTTTCTAATTTTTCCCTGTTCCCCAAAACCTGCTCCTCCTCTAATCTTAGATGTGTCAGTTGATGGCTTAATCAACTAGAAGGGGTTGCCAAAAATCTTGGAGAATTTATTTCCTTTCTCCTCATACCTCACATCCAGCTCATCAGCAAGTCTTCTCAGTTCTCCCTTTAAGGTAAATCAAGAAACTGACCACTTCTGCCATCTTCATCCAGCTGTATCATCTTTCATCTGCATTATTTATTATAGTAGTAATTACTCCATCCTCACAGGTTTTTCTATTTCTGCCCTTTCCAAGTCTGTTCTCAATGAAGTAACTTCAGTGATCCTGTTCTGATGCAAGTCAGATGGTTATTCCTCTACTCAGAAGTCCCGATTAGTTACCATCTTGTGGTAAAGTGTCCTTATTGTGTCTCCAGAGCCCTACAGAATATCTTCCCCACTTCCTTTGTCATATTTACTCCATTTCCTGCTCTTGTTTCCCTCGCAAGCTCCATTCTTCCTACTTTAATGTTACTGCTTCCTCAAACATCCCAGGCACACTTCTGCCAGGGCTTTTTGCACGTGATGTTCCTACTGGTCAGGATGGGCTTTCTCCAGATGTTTAAATGGCTCAATTCCCAACCTCCTTCAGCATGTTACTTGAAGGTACCCACAGTAAGATCTGTTCTTACCTTACTATGCCCCCACTTCCCCATTCACACTGCTTAGCTCCTTTCCTTGCTTAATTTTTCTTAATAGAAGTTAGCACTTCTCTGACAGGGTATGAAATTTTATTTTGTCTCTTTGCTACCCTTACAATGTAAGTTCCATGAAAGTAGGATTTTGTCTGTTCATTGCAGTATTTCTAGTGCATAGAATAGAGCATAGCATGTAGTAGCTATATAAAAATATTTATCACATACAGATTTACTAAGTATAAAATGAATGTAAGGTCTTTAGGTGTAGCTAAGCATGTAGTTTGTGGTACTTTTGAGAAATCACACCTCATACAAGCAATATATAAGGTAGAAGATTTAGAACATGTAGGTAAGTCAGAAGAAAAAAAAATAGCTATACCTCAGAGATATTGTGGGTACTGTTTCAGACCACCATGATAAAGTGAATATTGCAGTAAAGCAAGTCACACAAATTTTTTGGTTTCCCAGTGCATATAAAAGCGATGTTTGTCCTGTACTGTAGTCCTGTACTGTAAGTGTGCAGTAGCACTGTCAAAAAGAAGGTACATACCTTGATTAAAAATTACTTTATTGCTAAAAAGTGTTAATGATCAACTGAGCCTTCACTGAGTTGTAATCTTTTTGCTGATTGAGAAGGATCTTGCCTCAGTGTTGATTATTGCTGACGGATCAGGATGGTGGTTGCTGAAGGTTTGAGTAGCTGTGGCAATTTCTTAAAAATAACACAACAGTAAAATCAGCCACATCAATGAACTTTTTCTTTCATGAAAGATGTCTCTGTAGTATGTGATGCTGTTAGATAGGATTTTACCCACAGTAGGACTTTTTTCAAAATTGGAGTCAGTCTTTTAAACCCTGCTGCTGCTTTATCAACTATAAGTTTATGTGAAATTCTAAAGGGTTTGTTGTTATTTCAACAATGTTTATAATACCATTACCAGTAGATTCTATCAAGAAACCACTTTCTTTGCTCATTCATAAGAAGCAGCTCCTCGTCTGTTGAAGGCTTATCCTGAGATTGTGGCAATTTAGTTATATCTTCAGGCTCTACTTCTAGTTCTCTTGCTATTTCCACCACATCTGCAGTTACTTTACCCACTGAAGTTCTGAACTCCCTCAGAGTCATCCATGAGTGTTAGTCAGTTTTTTCCAAACTTCTCTTCATGCCGATATTTTGACATCCTCCCGTGAATCACAAATGTTCTCAATGACATCTAGAATGTGAGGAATCATTTCCAGAAACTTTTCGATTTACTTTGTCCAGATCTATTAGACGAATTACTACCTATGGCAGCTATAGCCTTATCAAAATGTATTCCTTAAATAAGAAGACATGAAAGTAAAAGTTACTCATTGATCCATGGGCTGCAGAATGTATATTATGTTATCAGGTATGGAAACAACATTGCTTTCTTTGTATATCTCCATGACAGCTCTTGAGTGACAAGGTGCATTGTCATTGATCAGTAATATATTTTTTTTTCTTTTTTTTGAGACGGAGTTTCGCTCTTGTTACCCAGGCTGGAGTGCAATGGCACGATCTCGGCTCACCGCAACCTCCGCCTCCTGGGTTCAAGCAATTCTCCTGCCTCAGCCTCCTGAGTAGCTGGGATTACAAGCACACGCCACCATGCCCAGCTGAATTTTTGTATTTTTAGTAGAGACGGGGTTTCACCATGTTGACCAGGATGGTCTCGATCTCTTGACCTCGTGATCCACCCGCCTCGGCCTCCCAAAGTGCTGGGATTACAGGCTTGAGCCACCGCACCCGGCTGATCAGTAATATTTTTAAAGGAATCCTTTTTTCTGAGCCATAGGTCTCAATAATGGGCTTAAAATAATAGTAAACACTGCTATAAAAAGGCATGCTATCATCCAGGCTTTGTTACTTTGTTTATAAACACAGAGTGGATTTAGCATAATTCTTAAGAGTCTTGGGAGGCCGGGCGTGGTGGCTCACGCCTGTAATCCCAGCACTTTGGGAGGCCGAGGCGGGTGGATCACGAGGTCAAGAGATCGAGACCATCCTGGTCAACATGGTGAAACCCCGTCTCTACTAAAACTACAAAAAATTAGCTGGGCCGGGCGCGGTGGCTCACGCCTGTAATCCCAGCACTTTGGGAGGCCGAGGCGGGTGGATCACGAGGTCAAGAGATTGAGACCATCCTGGTCAACATGGTGAAACCCCGTCTCTACTAAAACTACAAAAAATTAGCTGGGCATGGTGGCGCGTGCCTGTAGTCCCAGCTACTCAGGAGGCTGAGGCAGGAGAATTGCTTGAACCCAGGAGGCGGAGGTTGCGGTGAGCCGAGATGGCGCCATTGCACTCCAGCCTGGGTAAAAAGAGCGAAACTCCATCTCAAAAAAGAAAAAAAAAAAAAGAGTCTTGGGATTTTCAGAATTGTGAATGAGTATTGGCCTTAACTTAAAGTCTTAAATGGCATTAGACCCTAACAAGACAGTCAGCATGTCTTATGAAGCTTTGAAGCTGGATTGACTGATCATCTCTAGTTATGAAAGTCCTAGATGACACCTTCTTTCAATAGAAGACATTTTCGTCTGCATTGAAAATCTGTTGTTTAGTGTAGCCAGCTTCATCAATTATCTTAGCTAGATCTTCTGGCTAACTTGGTGCAGCTTCTACATCAGGACTTGTTGCTACATCTTGTACTTTTATGTTACGGAGATGACTTCTTTTCTTAAATCTCATGAACCAACTTCTGCTAGCTTCCAACTTTTCTTCTACAGCTTCCTCACTCTCTCAGCCTTCACGAAATAGAGTTAGGGTCTAGGTGGTGGTGGTGGTGGTGGTGGTGGTTTTTTTGAGGTGGAGTCTCGCTCTGTCACTCGGGCTGGAGTGCAGTGGTGTGATCTTGACTCACTGCAACCTCCGCCTCCTGGGTTCAGACGATTCTCCTGCTTCCGCCCCCCAAGTAGCTGGGATTACAGGCGCACAT